ACTATACATTGTACTATGGAATGTGACAAGAACCGTCGATGCAATGATTACATTTATAATGTTGGCCTTTATTGGTGAGATGTGTTTCGTAAGAGGCAACTAAATTTGGGAATTATCTTATCTTTTCTCTGCTTTCTAAACAACGTCTTCTTCCCAATGTCTCCCTTGACAATGCCTCACTTTTGGCCTTCAGTTGAGCGTTCGCCCATGTGAGACATACCAAAGTCTGTAAAAATGGTAGTTGCTTCAGCAATTATGAGTTTGACGACTGGTGCGCACGCTGTCAGTATAACTCGACCGGGTGGGGTGTCATGTTGGGTGCGTCGGTAGTATGTTTCAGTGAGGTAGCACTATAAGTCGGAATCAGTTCCGCACTATTACAGGGAGACAAACACAAACATATCGCAGTCTCCCAAACACACACGCATACAGACACTATACGCATGCATCTTGCACACAGGGGAGGCCGTCTTTAGATGACCATAGCTGTTGATATGACGTTAAACACTAATAAACCAAACCAAACATGAAGATACCAAGATTTATCCTCTAACCCCGTTGCACTCGAGATCTTTTTCATTTTACTTTCTGTATTTCTTTCCTTCCTTCCTACTTTCTTTCTATTTCGGCGGTGTCTCCCTAAGGGCTTGTCGTCATCTGACGAAAATACGGATCATTGGAAATATTTTAAAAAATGTAACATTATCGTATTGCACAACTTAGTCATTCTGAAAATGGGTCAAATAATCATTCAAGTCTGAACGTCCATGCATGGAACAGTAAGTACAACAATTTAGGACTAGGGTTTGTTTCTGTTGGAGTGCAATACCCTTCTACGTTCGCCGAGGCAAACGTTATCGGTTTTATTTTTTATTGTTTTTGCGTTATCGCTGCAGTCATTTATTACATTTATCGTTATGCAAATAAGAGTTGCAAATAGTGTTACATAAAAGTTGTATGAAACAATCTATAGCTTCTAGCTTAAATAATGGAAACCTGTATCGATCATTATTCGCAGGTGAAAGCAACAATTGATTATTTATATAGCTTCTAGCTTAAATAATGGAAATCTTTATCGATCATTATTCGCAGGTGAAAGCAACAATTGATTATTTATATAGCTTCTAGCTTAAATAATGGAAACCTGTATCGATCATTATTCGCAGGTGAAAGCAAAAAAGTATTATTAATATAGCTTCTAGGCTAAATAATTCAAACCTGTCTCGATCAATATTCGCAGGTGAAAGCAAAAATTTATTATTAATATAGCTTCTAGCTTAAATAATTGAAACCTGTATCGATCATTATTCGCAGGTGAAAGCAACAATTGATTATTTATATAGCTTCTAGGCTAAATAATTCAAACCTGTCTCGATCAATATTTGCAGGTGAAAGCAACAATTAATTATTAATATAGCTTCTAGCCTAAATAATTGAAATCTGTCTAAATAAATATTCGCAGGTGAAAGCAACAATTAATTATTTATTTGATCTCGATTAGCTGGCTTAAGCTTATATTTCCTTTGTGTGAGAAGGTCAGATAATATTAATAAAACACTTTTGCAATTCAACCCACTTGGTTCAATATCACCATCAGAGCAGACCATCAAGAGGAGGTTGTCCTCTCACGACTTTGCACTGATCAAACAAATTATGCGAATTTGAATAGCCTCGACGAGAAAATCAGCCCCTTTGTCACTCTTTGTTACTCATGTGACAAATATAAATCAATGTGCCTACACATTGATCGAATAAGCAGGTTTTAGACAGATTATGATGTGCCTAATATGATAAAAAAAGATTACACACAATTAATTTGTGAACTTTTTTCAAACATCTACTTGAAATTGGCCTATATCATAATTTGAAAACAAACACTTGCTGTAGTAATATCTGACAATTTTGCTGTGTAGTTTTTAATCCTTTACTATTCTAATATAGGCGAAATTGACAAAAATATCCGTCTGGTATCAGGATATTTATTGTTTCAATTTTTATCAATTTCAATATTAATCATGACTGTTGTATATTTTCTATCTGTCCTACGATAATTTCTTTTTTCCCCGTAGGAACGAGGCTATACATTTTGTCGTTTATATAACTACATATTGTTTTGTAGTTATTGTTATAATGCAATAATTGTAAGTATGATTTTGTTGCCCAATAATGTACAAATGCCGATGTTCTGAAACGCTAGACCAATTAATTCTTTGAGCAAGTCTCGGACAATGTATAACTTGGACATCACTGGAATTAACATAGGCCACACCATCTGAAGAGTTCCTCAGTCATCTTAATGTATCGTTTGTCACCACGGACATGACAGAGTCTCGAGGCTCAGACCGGAAGACAGATTGCGTTGTCTATTCCATACACACAAACACTTCAATAATTGATCTTGTAGCCAAAAATATTTCAAAGAAGAATTGCCCCGGCAAGAGGGTTTATTCTATATCTATGTTATTGTAAAACAATTACTAAATGATGTTTGCAGATCAATCGAATGAAATGAAAGTTTATTTTTAGCCAGGCTTCAAGTTCGTGTATTTGGTTTGTTCAATTTCACAAACTTTGGACTAAATCTGTATTAAATGGGATCGCAATTTGTTTTTCCTTACACTTTTTCTTGAAGAATAATGCTTTTATCTTGATTAAGTATCTGTCGCCAATCTGGACGAAACCACACAGCGGATAAAGACATTCAATGCATCACACTAAAGTAACAAAGTATGCATATCTGTTCACCGGTTGTGACATGCATGCGTGTCTGGCTACCGGGTCGAGGCGTCGAATATAGACGAACATCTAGAGAGAGACATCCACAGAAACTAAGTTAATTGTGTTTGGCGTTTTATCAACAACTAACGGCTGATAATATCTGTAGAATGTAGGTACAGTATGAGCGTTTGTACTGGAGGCGGTGCTTCGGTGTATTTGTGTTCTAGCGATACGTCGGGTTTTACCTCGCTGAGTAAACATGCCGAAGGCACCACGCCTAGTATTCCATCCGGTCACAATATAGTTTCAACGGGTAAAGCAGTTGTTGCAATTACCATAAAAGACACATAAAAATCAAGAATAAATATAGGTAAAAGCCGGAAAGATGTCGTCATGACCATTATTTCCACCCATGTGTCATGTGTCGTTAAAAAGAACATGGCTGATATACAAGGGATGGTTAAATGCACGGAAGTTCATGATGCGACTGTAAAAATTACTCATTAGCGTGTTCCTGAACGGTATATATTGTAACAAATGTCTTAATCGATGACGTCACAATATTTACAGAGCGGTAATCGAGTTTAATCCGGTTCAAGTGTCTCGGATGCAATTATGTAATGCGAGCACGTATTATGGTTTTGCGTTCCTGTCCATCTATCTGTCCACATATCGCGTCAAGCTAATAACGAGATTCCGTCGGCCTTCCGTCCCTAAACAGTTCTTTTTAGCACTATTTCTGAGAAAGTACTTCAGAGATCTATCTCAAACATATTTAGTTTACCCTTGGTCTTAAGTTATGCATATACAATTTCGGGTGCGATAGGCAGCTATCTTGATTTTTTACAGTTAAAGTTTGTAAGCGCTATTTCTGAGAAAGTATTTTCTCCAACTGCACAAAACGTAGATTTCCCATGGTCCGTAGTTATGCATATCGAATATTGAGACTGATCAGAAAACTAAGATTGCCCACATGCTGCCGAATTGAATTTTGAGAGTTAAAGTAATGTTTCTCAGAAAGTACATGCATCAACCCGTGCAGGTTCAGGCGAAGAATATGCCTGCTATATCCCACTGCATGATAGTAACAGGTGGCTTATGACCGTGATTGTTGCAAGGACGTTAAACCTAAGAAAAAACCTGGAGGTAACTTTCTCAAATTTCACAGAAAGGTTCCCCTTTGTCCTTTTTCATATTGTTCCCCTTGTTAAAACACTAATGCAGGTCGGAGATCGGAAAAAGAATACACTTGTTGTTACCCAATATATGTATTGATTGAATGATAGGTTTTACATCCGCTTCACTACCGAGTAGTTCGGTTATCCAGCAGACCAATACGTGTATCGTAGGAAGCGACTTATATAGGAACCTCCTGCAGAGTTGTGGATTTTCTAAACAAAATAATATCAAACCAAACCTTGTTAAAAATACCAATGGTCCTAACGAGAATTAAACTGTCATTGACAGCACGTTTAATTATGTAAAAAATACATTGTTTTGCGTTTCGCTCACCTGGAAATGTTAGCAATATTGACATTGAAATAGCCAGATATGGCTGTACATATATTACATGGTAAGTCAGGGGTTATATTTATATGCAATTGGACAAAATCCTGTCATTCCTACAGAAAAAGAAGGAATTTGACGAGTTTCCTATGTTTCGATTATCGGGCCCGGCCCCTCTGCCCCCAGGTGGTTCAGACCCACCGTTGATACAAAATTAGTTCCCCTTCACCCAAGGATGCTTTAGACCAAATATGGACATAATCCTCCTACAGAAGAAGAGGCAGATTTTTTTTAAAGAATTTGTTAAATTACCCCTATTTGGCCCCACCCCTCAGGCCCCGGTAGGGTCAGACCCATCATTCATAAAAAATTGACTTACCTACCCAAAAGGATGCTACTGTTCAAATTTGGTCATAAAACTTTCATCAAAGGTCAAGGTCGCAGATGATCCAACAAGACGTGGTGTTTAGGTTTCTCCAGCAGTTTTTGTAACCACATATCAAATACCGCAACTTTTATTAAGAATTGTGTTCTGTACATGTAAGAGACATTATAAATTGTGCCTGTGGTGTTTTAAGTGCGAATTTGTGTGCATTAATCGTGTTTTGAGGATCCAAATATTTAGAGACAGACCAGAACTCACCATGGTTCAGTGACCACACTACTGACCACTATCATCTATACTGCAGTGTACTGGTTGACACTTACCTGTACACCTATACACCTGTATTGAATTTATATTTATTGTGACAAGTGTATTTTTGTCTGAAGTGAAAATGACTTCTACCAGAAGTGCGAGCACTAGCAATTGTAAAGGAGAGTCGAAGGGTCCTAATTCTGGAAGACTTCGTGACATCTCAAGGGGGAAAATGTCTACAGACGAAAAGCTGGATAATATTTATGTTATCTTATCAACGCTCAAAGTAAACATACACTAACAGATGATAATTCTAAGAGAGGATATTAAAAAGGAAAACAGAGAGCTTGTTGAAAGACTTGAGAGTCGTATTTTTGATCTCTAGGAACAGAATGATGTTTTGAAACAGACAGTTAGCAAATTGGAGCAACACTTGGTAGAATCTGAAGATAGGCAATGTGAGCAGGACAATAAACTGAATGATCTTGAACAGTATGGAAGGAAAAACACTATTCGAATAGTGGGACTTGAGGATTCCAACAGGAATGAAACTGATGAGGAATGTGTTGAAAAGATTGTAAAATTTGTATATGACAAACTGAATGTCACAATTGTTGAAGCAGATATCGACATAGCCCATAGACTTGGTGTGTACCAGCGGGGTAAACCTCGAAATATTATCTGTAAGTTTACCCACCGTATAAGAAAATTTAAGATCATCAAACAGAGGAAACTACTGAAGGGAACACGATGCTTCATTATGGAGGACCTAACCAGGATCAATCAACAGAGACTTAAAGAGGCTTTTGAGCTCAGGTGTGTTGAGATATCCTGGAGCACTGATGGGAAACTGTTTGTGTTGCTAAAAAACGGGGAAAAACGGAGAATTCAATACAACGCTATCATGACTGAGGCTTTCCTGATGAACGATGACAATTTTTGCCGTAAGTGAACTTATCTGTGAAATCGGTGACTTTTTTATGTAAAAAAAAAACTTCTTAAGAAAAAATATTATAATATATATAAATGTGTGCATATATAGATTGATCAGATAATGACATTATATGATTCATATTGTATATTCGTTTCATATGGCTTGGTGATACTTTACAAGCTAATATCAGATACGTTTTATTTTTGTTACCTTTAGTCCGCATTCGTTCCAGGTTTCATATTATTATATATGTGCGCAAACTTCCGGACAGGTTGTTGACTTCCGGCTGAAGTTTGAAAGTCTGTAGCATGGAAGACTGAACAGCGATTGAGTAATGTGAGCATTCATATGTTTGTATGTATGTATGTATGTATGTAAATGTTGATGGTAGACTATGTATACAGGTATAAATGATATGCAGTCATACTTTGTGAGGGATGAATCCGATAGAAAGATTATTGTGTCTATAATATAATATATTGAAAGTCAGTGATTTTCGGCAATATGCAGTACATACATGTATGCACTAGGTAAAATACATATACTCGGACATGCTTAAAAACAAGTATAATATTTCCATGTATAAATAGGCAAATATTTTTTAACACATTAAAACATGTACGTGTAATACATAGGTTGTTTTTTGTATATATACATACTACTATACATTGTACTATGGAATGTGAAAAGAACCGTCGATGCAATGATTACATTTATAATATTGGCCTTTATTGGTGATATTTGTATTGAATCAATGTAAAAAGAAACATGTGCATACATATTTAGTAGCAAGCAAGTATATGTATTTACGTTGTTTGTAAACTGAACTGTTGCTAAACTTAAACCTACATGTATGTAAGTTATATGTATATATGTAGTCCTTTTTTTTTCTTTTTTTTCTTGTAACATTTACAACTGTTTGTTTGTTTGTTTGATTTTGTTTAACGTCCTATTAACAGCTAAGGTCATTTAAGGACGGCCTCCCCTGTGTGCAAGATGCATGCGTGTAGTGTATGTGTGTGTATTTTGGGAGGCTGCGATATGTTCGTGTTTGTCTCCTTGTGATAGCGCGGAACTGATGCCGACTTTATAGTGCTACCTCACTGAAACATACTGCCGAAGACACCCAGCAGGACGCCCCACCCGGTCACATTATACTGACAACGGAAGAACCAGTCGTCCCACCCTAATTTGCTGAGCGTTAAGCAGGAGTATAAACTAACATTTTTAAAGACTTTGGTATGTCTCGGCCAGGGGACAGAACCCAAAGCCTTCCTTACAGGGGCGAACGCTCAACAAATGGCCAAAAGTGAGGCATTGTCAAGGGAGACATTAGGAAGAAGAAAGTTATTTAGAAAGGAGAGAAGAGATAAGGTCCCAAATTTAGTCGCCTCTTACGATCATGCAATTGGGGGCAGCAGGTACAATTCTTACGCCCTACCTGCAGGGGAACATTTACAACTGAATTGAAACCAAATAGATACCACATATATAAATATACATAGATGTTTCATCTTTTTGAATCAATTAATCATATACACTTCTATAGTTAACAAAAGACAATACTAATAAGAAAAATAAATTTATATACATATATATATATATATTGTTTTTGGGAATCGGTTGTGATTTCATCGTTGATGATCGGTTACAGTCACTTTGTGACCATGGATTGATTTTTTATTAGTATTGAGTTGGTTTTCTAGTAAAATAATTATATTACTAAAAGCTGTGCATGTCGTAAAATCCTAACTCTTTTCTATGAGTGACTTCGATATTTTTAAATTTTTATTTTTTATATTTTATCAGAACAAAGAAATACTATGTTGCTATTGTAATGTGCGGAATTGAAAAAAAAAATCAAAATGAAATGAAATCTACTATAATTCTTCCGGATTGTTTGCCAAGAGGCTGTATATCTCTGGCTTGTCCAATATAAACACATTCGTTTCCCCTCAGTATTAAAATGAAAAAGATACCAGATATTTCATTTTACAAGAAATATATAAAAAATAGTATATAGGTATTTTATATGCGTGTAATCTCTAGTGAAGTTGCTTCCATATTTGCTTGTGGTTTGTTGTGTATAAATAAATATAGCATGACGGATACTATAATCTGGAGTTAGTTTCATTTTTGTAAAACTATAGTCGAACTGTTGACTTCCGGTGTGCTTACTAGACGCACGTAACAAATAAAGAGTGAAAGAATGGATGAATTTGGAAAGAATGCACGAGGTGTAAGATTATAGGTAAACAAATAGACTATGATTATGTATAGTTGATAGTGTGTCAGTTTCGTATGACCACATTTATATGTTTTTGTTTTCCTTCTGTCTATCAATGCTTCTTTTTCCTTTCTTCTTTAGTGTCAGTGTCATTATAATTACTATCCTGGCATGGGGCCCTCTCATGTCTTCTCCCGTTGTCTTAGGCAGTGTCATATATATGTTGAGTGAGTATAAGCTGTTTATACAACTGACTTTTTAAGAGTATAACAATAATATCAGCAAAATGTCAAGGTTTAGGAGATAGAAATAAAAGAAAAGATTTATATTCTTACTTGAAAAATAAAAACTATAATATTTTCTGTTTACAGGATACACATTTCACTCATGATATTGAAAATGTAGTTAGAGCAGAATGGGGTTATGCATGCAAGGGGGGTAGCAATATTTTTCAATAACAATTTTGAAGTAAAGGTAATGCAGGAAAGAAGGAATTTGATTGGGAATTTTCTGGCTCTTGATTTGAAGATAGAAGGTAGAAAAGTAACTTTAATAACATTATATGGCCCTAATTCAGACAATCCAGCTTTTTATGAAAATTTAACAGATACTATTAATGCATTTGGCAATGAATCTTATATAATATGTGGTGATTTTAATTTAATTTTGAACCTTAAATTGGGCTATGATAAAAGCTATAAACATATAAACAACCCAAAATCCAGAGATAAAGTAATTGAACTTATAGAAGAGTTGGGAATGGTAGATATATACTGAGAACAACATCCGGAGCACAAAAGATACTCTTGGAGGAGAAATAACCCTGTTTAACAAGCTCGTTTAGATTTCTTTTTTATTTCAGACAGCTTATTACCAAGTTTTCATTATTCAAATATCGAGCCAGGCTATAGAACTGATCATTCGCTTCCTATTATTGCTGTAAGATTTACTGAATTTAAGAAAGGTAAAGGATTATGGAAGTTTAATAATTCACTCTTGTATGATTTAGATTACCTAGAACTTATTAATAAACTTATTTTAGATATTAAAGACATTATGCTCTTCCAGTGTATCTTTTAGAAAACATCAATAATATTCCTGATTCTGATATACAATTCACTATAAGCGATCAATTTCTTTTAGAAACACTTTTAATTAAAATTCGAGGCAAAACTATTTTCCACTCTTCATATAAGAAAAAACAACAAAATTCAAATGAGATAATCTTACCTATACTATACGTAAACTAGAAATTAAAAGGTAGTATAATTCGATCTAAAGCTAAATGGGTAGAAGAAGGTGAAAAGCCAACAAACTATTTTTTTAACCTAGAAAACAGAAATTACACCTCGAAGTTAATACCGATGATAGAGAAAGACAAGGCGATAAAATAACAAAAGCAGGTAGAAATTCTTGATGAGGTAAGATTTTTTTATGAAAAATTGTATACAATTGATAATGATATAGAAGATGTTCATATAGATGATTTTTTTAAAAGATATTGATATTTCAAAATTAAGGAATATAGAATCTAACAAACTAGAAGGTATAATTACTCTTAATAAAGCTTCAAATACTTTAAAAACTATGAAAAAAAGATAAAGCCCAGGCTCTGATGGGTATACAGTAGTACTTTTTAATGCTTTTGGAAACAACTAGGTACTTTTATAGTCAAATCGATTAATTTTGGGTTCAATCAGGGTCAATTATCAATCAGACAAAGACAGGGCATAATTACATGTATACCTTAGGGAGATAAGCCTCGGCAATATCTTAAAAATTGGAGACCAATTTCTTTACTTAATATTATTTATAAAATTGCATCAGGATCAATAGCAAGCAGAATAAAAACAGTTTTAAATAAAATAATTAATACAGATTAAACAGGATTTATTACAGGGCGCTATATTGGGGAAAACACTCGAATTGTATACGATATCATGCAATATGCAGAAGATAGGAATATACCTGGAATGTTGTTAATCATTGATTTTGAAAAAGCTTTTGACTCTGTTTCTTGGAAGTTTAATGATGAAGTTCTGGATTATTTTGGGGAAGATATAAAAAAGTGGATCTACAAAAAGAGGCAAGTTCAGCTATTAATCAAGGGGGAAATTTGTCTCCATTTTTCGAAATTGAAAGAGGCTGTAGGCATGGGGACCCCATCGCACCATATATATTTATAATGTGTGCTGAAATTTTAGCTATTAGAATAAGGAACAATAAAAATTTAAAAGGTATTGATATGATAATAGTCCTTTTTTACTGTCTCAATATGCGGATGACACTTCACTGATTTTAGATGGAACAGAGAAATCACTAAAAGAATCAATTGATGAACTAAAAACTTTTGCAAAAATATCTGGATTTAAAATAAATGTATCTAAAACACAGGCTATTTGGATTGGGAGTTTGTTTGTTTGTTTGTTTGTTTGATTTTGTTTAACGTCCTATTAACAGCTAAGGTCATTTAAGGACGGCCTCCCCTGTGTGCACGATGCTTGCGTGTAGTGTATGTGTGTGTATTTTGGGAGGCTGCGATATGTTCGTGTTTGTCCCCTTGTGATAGCGCGGAACTGATGCCGTCTTTATGAGTAAAAAAATATAGTGATGAAGTTGTGTACCCTGAATTGAATATGCAGTGGGGAAATCAAAAATTTATACTTTTAGGCATTGAGTTTCATGTTGACCTACACCGAATACCTAAACTGAATTATGATAAAAAAAACTAGTTAAGATAAAGGCCCTAATTAGAACCTGGGAAAGAAGAATTTTGACACCAATAGGTAGA